TTATCTGAATCAACATGAAAATATACCTAATAAATATTGCTATTCATCTGGCTCTTTTAGTTCTCCCTTAAGACACAAATGCATTTCTTTTCTCCAAAATACAGCAGCTGGGAATGAAAGAGAGATTTCAAGTGATCATTTTTACATCATATTCCATCATCTCTTCATTAGTTCCTCTGAGCTTCTCTTTGAGGGAGCCCCTTTCTTTAAAAAGAGGTTTCTTTTTAGATCAATCCATATTTCCATAATCCACACTGCAGTTTCCTCCTCTTCTCCCCAGGGTGGACCAACCCCCACCTCCCCATCTATGGCGCACAACTGTCATTAAGCCCTACAACAATAACAAGATAACAAAAGAGCTGGTGGGCATGAGGCTAGCTAGTACCATATGTTGACCAAGTTCAGTATTTTTAGCTGCTATAGAATATTAAAACTTAAATTTTTTAACAGGCAAGTGTCTTCACACCACTTGGTCTCCCGAACTGTATTTCAGGCAAAAACTTTAAACACTGAGGAGCAACAAACAACACTTCTTTGAAAAAGCTTATCTACTAAGGATGTGTTGAGAAAGCAGCAAACAATCACTAGATACAGAAGGGTAAAATCCATTAGTGAGTACACATTCTGCTCATCCCAGGCCCCGTTCTACTAAAACCTAAAGAATTTTTAGGACTCACTTTTAAAGCAGCATACAGACCTGATGTCGCATAGCCTGGTCCCTGTGAACCAAGTGCTTTGTGGCAATTTTAAAAGGCAATTTCCAGCAAATAACATCGAGACATCATACTGTTTCCATCTTCTGTTTCATAGTCAACCAACTTCAACTTATTTTTTTAAGTGAAGCAAAGTTAGATGTAGGGTTCTGACTTGCCACCCAAGACACCATACTGCTCAGTATGTTTGGGAGAGCAGCTTCTGATGCATGTGCCTAGAATGTGTCACTGTGGAAAAGGCATTTGTCACCTCTGCTTCTCTCAAACACTGTGCAGAACTAAAACTCAACTTTATTTTTGCCAATAAAAACCTTGTATTTATTTTCCCTGTATCACATATGACTTGACTACTACGGGTTGAAGAGCAGGGTCAGGCCTTCCTGTCGGGACTAAATCATTTGTAGAGTTGGATATAATTTCACTAACAGAAAAATAAATAGGAAGCTCACTAAAGTAAAACTTTTCCTCCTTCAGCAGAACAGCTACATCACTTTACAGGGCTTCAAATGCAATGTTAATGGCAAACACATTGTAATGTTCAAATACAATGTCAAATGTTTCTTAAGTAGTTTTTCTCTGCAAATTTGTGAAAGCACATTACTTCCACTGCCATCTAATCCATAAAACAAAATTTAGAAAATACACTGTTTTTCCAAATTAGTTTCCTACGCACTTACAGTAAATTAAGAGTGTGGTCATGTTTTGTATTAAATTTTCCAACATTGTACCTGCCAAGGAACTAAATCCCATCTTTATAATAATAGTTGGCATTATGTTTGTCTTCTTGAGGCACAGCAACGTATGAAGAAATAACCCTATGTATTCCTACCAAAACCACACTCCCAAGACAGAAGTGACATTTCAAGGTTGCTAAGATAGTTACAAAATGTTTGGGATATGAAACAAAGTAAGCATCTCAATAAAATTATAATTTTTACATTAACATATTCTCTTTATAAAACCAGGTATTCCTAAAAATTAATCAATTTGTCATAGAAATGGGTTTGTATAAATATATGTATGTGTACATATAAATATGCATGTGTACACATAAAGATCCTCACAGGCGTAATGAAATTAAATTTCCTTTCACATCAAGTCACTTTGTGACTCACCAAGCCCAAAAAGTTTTAAAGATTAATTTCATAATAGCCCATAACTGTCTATGATTATTTTTAATATTAGAATCAGTAAGTTATTGACAAATAATTTAAATCTTCATAAGTAACATACTAAATAAAATTACAAACTACCCCAATATCAATACTGCTCAGTCTTAAGTCATGGAAAATCTTTGCAGGATCTAAATCCCTTTTAAGTCAAACAGGGAAAGAAAAATGAATGAATATATAAAACTGTAAGTGGTCACATGTTTAAGAAGCATTCCTTCTAAACCACACAGTAAGACAGCTACACTTGGTTGAACATAAAAGACTGTGTGAAGTGCCGAGTTTGACTGCCAGGCAGCAAGCTGGCAGCCTCCACATAAGAAAGCCCCAAAAGGATACCGATGAAATACACACATGAAAATACGTCCTTTACTATGGCACACTTAATGGCTATAATTTAAACTTTCCAGATACTTCCTGCATGATTTGCTAATGAATGGCACATTACTAACGTGATTACAGTAGCTGTGGCATGTGCCCTTTCCTAGCAGCCTTCTAATGCGCTTTTATCTATGGAAATGAAAGAGAGGAAGAACCATGGTCAGGAACTCATCATGAGTCAGTGATGAGCGCTCAAAACTTCAAGCTGCAAACTCCTCACCAAGCCACATCTTTCATTCATATTTTAATGAAACTCCATTGTATTTGGCATAGTCCCTGAACGCTTTCTAAACTGAAGCTTACCCAGAACTCTTGGTTGACACTTCCTAGAACATTAGTTCCATGTTTTTCCCACTGTGGTCAAGATAACTTATCATGAGCTTACTCAACTTTATTTAATATGTCACTCAAACACTAAATAAACATTTATTCCCACTTTATTGTGAGACAGCCACAGTGAGGAGTGAAAACTAGAAAAAAAAATGAGAGGGCGGAAGGTGGCAAAGAGGAAGGGAAGATGGCTTTTGAGATATATAAAAGAAACTAAGAAATTACACACAGGTTGCTGTATAGAAGCTTCAGAAGGCCTTAGAAGAACTAATTTTCAAGCTGCGATTTAAGATTAAGGTGAAATCTTAGCAATGTGGTAGCTTAAACAAGACCTGGTCCTTGACAATAAAGTCAACATACCCTTGTAGATGAGGGAAGTCCCATAAAGCCTCACTACTGTAAGAGCTACAGGCAATTAATGACTACTCAGAGAGAGAATCAATCTTCCCCAGGGATGAGCCCCAATCCCAAATGGTTAGCACCAAAAACATACGTATGAGTAACACTACACTGATGTGGCAGTTTGATATTTTCATATTTATATGCATGAATATATTAACAATACTAATGGAAGAGAAGGAGGGCTTGGAGGTAGAGCCAGAGAAAGCAGGAGAAGGGAGAAGGCTAGCAGGGGACCGAAGATAATCAAAGTGTATGTATATACATGTTAAGAAGTATTATATGAAACCTAGCATTTGTACAATTAATAGATGCTAGTAAAAATTTTAATACTGTTAGGATGGTGCATGCCTTTATTTCCCAACACATTGGAGGCAGAGGAAGGGCGAACTGTGTGAACTGAAGGACCGCCTGGTCTACAAAGCAAGTTCCAGGCCAGCCAAGGCCAAACACAGTAAGACCCTGTACTCAAAAAGACCAAAGCAAAGAAGACTGTGAGAACTGAAGTGCCTGGGATTCCTGGGGTTTATGGGAGTTCACAGCCACTTACACAGCGAATTGTTTCTGGTTTAGACTAAATGCAGGGACAAGGAGTGATGCATGGTATCAAAACACACATACAGCATCTTAATAGCCAAGAGGACCAGCAACAAGTGATCACACTAAAGTCTGTTCAGGTGGACTGGCAAGTATGTATCTTCATATTCCGTCTTCCCTAGAGCTGACCTCCCTAGAATCCAAGAATTCTACGGAACATTTTTAAAGGGAGAAGTAAAAGCAATGCAATAATACTTGAAAGGGGACAGAAGGTTGTTTGTAGATCAATGGACAAAAGCCAACTGAGAAAATAAAGAAATAAGCATTGCAGACTGGTAAAATGAGCCCAGAATCATTGCATGACTAGGAACACACTCAGCTTAGCTTCTTATGTGAAAGCTACCCCTTCACTGTAGGGACTTACTTACTTAAGAATATTTATTGAATTTATAAATCCATTGTCCACTAAAGGCTAAAAGCAACTTAAGAATGCATACCCTCTTTTTCTTTGAAGCCATGGCCCAGGGTAATAGACATAATCAGTATCTAACAGGTCCATTTAATTGGCTCATTCAAATTAACTTCCAATTTCCCATCTTTCAGGTTAATGTTCTCTTCTAGAAAATTATCCTTTCACAATATTTAAAAGCATGCATACTCTTTCTGAATGAATAATTGTAAAGATGAACTTTTATGAGATTTACTTTTTGTAAACTGTGGAAGTCATAGCTGAGACCTGAAGGGATGAGCTGGTGAAGTGATTTTAACAGTGATAAGATTGTTATTATCTCACTTCTTTTGAGGCAGAATAATGGAACTTACTAGTATCCAGGAAACTTTATCAAAACAAATTACTGTAAACTATAATTCAACCCCAAAATTATATTCCCATAATATAAATTTTAAAATATTTTTCTATGCACTTATATCAAAGTAATTCATTTTTGGTCATAGTAAATATTTAAGGAACTACAGAAAACTATAAAAATCCAGCCACAGATTCATCCTGCAGTTTCCTTCTGCTGTCTTAGCTTTCTAAGAAAATTAAATAATAAAAATTATTTAGAAATAAGGAAATATTCCTAATTCAACTTCTAAAAACTGATTACTTATTTATACTAGTTATACTTATTTCTAAGTATTCAGAAATAATGAGTATATACAACAAAAAAAAACAGTAATAGCATCAAGTTTTTATGACTGGGAGTTTTTTACTGTCCCCAACTATATATCCCACAGATGACAGAGCAAAACTATGTTAAAACTATAGCACCCAGCTGCTATGGTTCTCAATATAACTGCTTCTTAACTCACCTACTTGGTCACTTAAAAACTCTCCCATATGTCCTCCACACTTTTTCTTTCTCAAAGTTGATCACGAAAAATAATTGCAGCTATTCATATACAATAGCAGCAGTTCATAGTAAAAATGTAGTATTTCAACTTAAATGTTTTAAAATATGTTCCCAACCTGATCTCCAAAGTCCTCCGGGAATTTCCACAATACCACAGGACCTGCAAACAATTGACATATATTATTAAAAGAAACAGAGGAGGATGCTAATATTCTTAAAATGATCGATTTTGATATTTTAACACAATTGTAAGGTTAATTTCTCTATATTACATAAAATTCAATATTTTGACATTTGTGTTTCAATAATCTTAGCAACAGTGTCAAATAAAATTTGTAACTTAACCAAGTTATTAAAAATCATCCCTTTTAGCAGTCTATTTGCATGCCTTGACGTCTAATGTTCTACAATACATTTTCAATTTAACTGCTTATAAAAACATTATTCTTGGCTTGAAAATAAAAATATAAAAGTAGTAAGTAGTAACAATAATCTAACACAGTCTTAGAGACTAAACCAAAGCATATTGCCTTAAAATTCCATTTTAAATTCCAATTAAGAATATATGATGTCAATAATCATTTTTTATTTATATCAGTTTTAAATACTCATATTTAAACTCTAAAGTAATTTTTGAGAGGTAGCTAAGCTACTAGGTAGATTTAAGACAGCTTTTTAAAAATAAATTTGATTTAGATACAGTATAATAAATCAACAGCTTTATAAATATTTATACAAGTTGTTCATTTTCACATTTCTCAAACCCCTTTTTTAAAGGTGGCAAAGTCTGGCGTTATTAGCTTTCATTGGTACTAGTAAATATTTTGGCCATATACTTAATTCTGCCAAAAACAAAGTTGGATGTTATAAAATCCTTTTTGAAGGGTAATTAACAGTGGAGGAACAGTGTTTCTAGAAGAGGGCTGCTGATACCCCTCCCTAGAGTTACCTGCAAAGTGCTGCTGCCTGTCTAAACTCCACCCCCAAGGGAAAGGCCCCAGGGAACACAGCCTTGACTCTGTGTATAAAGTCAGTGGCAGCTACAGCTCCACTGCACAACTGCCACCACTGTAGGGTGCATTTTTAAAAATAAATAAATCGGGGTACAACATTTCTTAATGTTAATTCCAAAATCCAATAGGTGGCTAATAACATTTTGAGCATGAGCTAGCCACTCTAGTACTTCTACGTGTAGTTCAAAGGGATTGTTTTTTTCTTTACAAAGCATGCTTTCCACAAAAAATTTTAACAATAATAATTAAGGAATTAAACCTTTCCACATAAATCAATATAAATAAGCCATGTAGGCATCTTGCATAAAGCAATACATTAGAAATTTGTGAAGGGAAGCATCAAATGGTTTGTCTTTATCCATAAAAAGCAAACGTTTACATTTCGGGAATTAATGTGAAAAACATCAAAGATCAAGTGAAAATCCTCAGGCAATTACATTAGGCAATTATAGTAGACAATTACACCCCAAATCACATAGGTTCATATGGCATTTTTTACCAACACTGAGAGCTCATAAAACAAAAGCACACAGGAGAATCTTCATGAACAAAGTCTGACAGTAAATTAAAGGTAATAAAAACAAATCATCCCACGGCGGCAGGCTAGTCACAAGCATGGGATGGGCTTCAAGACAGATATTTAACAATCCATTTTCATCAATCAGAACTTCAGAGTCTTTTACTATTTTAGGATATGAACAGGTTTCTTAGGCCTAAGTCTGCGATCGGGATATTTACCTGTTGTGCAGCCATTACAGTTTGCTTATCGTGCTGGTAAGTGTGCTTTGGCTGCCTCAGTTTTCATGACCCCTTGCTCATTCATTCATTCATTCATTTTTTTTCTATATACTACATTTTCACAGAAGGAAAACAAATGACTATATGAAGGGTTTATTGGATTAAACATCTAGTGGAAAATATCCTATTTATTTTCATTAACTAAATCTCATCCTTCAGCAGCATGCAAAACTGCACCTACATTTTGAAATGGATTAACTTTGTCACTGCTTATGTGGTTATATTTCAACTATATGTTTGTAGCAACGTTTCAGAGGAACAAAAGATCTGAGAAAAATAATACGATTTTGTCACTTCAAACAAAGCCTGAATTCTCTTCCCCGAGGATTACTCCAGATCCTCAATCTGATCTGTCAGGCCCAATTTTCTGCTGCTCTTAGGGGAGGAGGGATGGGAACTGCTGGCCAGGCTGTGGAGTGGTGACAGGGACACTGTGCTTGTTCCCACAGCCAGAGTCCAGGGAGACTCCCCACCCCACCCGGAAGCACTGGTGCTGATGGGAGGAGATGCCACTTCATTCCCACATGATTACATCTCAGTACACACATTTTTGTTCAATCAGTAATCTTGTAGATGGCAATAAATGACTGTTTGTATATGAGCACAAGTGTTTTTAAATTATGATTTCTAAAATCCTGTAGTTTTAGATTTCATATTTTTAGCCTTTAATAAGAAACAAAAAAACTAAAATAAAAAACATAAATAACAAAAAATACTAGTGTGGATTATACTAAACTATAAAAAAAAACCACAAGATAAAAAAAAACTTCCTAATTTCCATAAATGAATAAAATCTCTTTGATTCTGTGGAACTCAAAGATGAATTAAACATATAGTTTCTTTATTATTATGCATCTAGAAAACCAGAGTTCAGACATGAAATAGATCTGGGAAAATGGAATGTAAAACCTTTGTATTTTGCTTGTGTACAAATTTGGTTTTTTAAAGACATATTTATTTTTATTTTATGTGTATAAGTGTTATGCTTGCACGTGTGTACATGCACCAAATATGTGCCTGGTGCCCAAGGAGGTTACAGATAGCTGTGAGCCACCAGATGAGTGCTGGGAACCCAGAGGGGACCTCTGCAGAAGCAGCCAGTGCTCTAACTGCTGAGCCATTTCTCCAGCTCTTTGATACAGCTTTTCCCAAGCAGGAATCACTTACACTATAGAATGACATTGATGTACAAGGAATCTGCAGTCAAAGCAGGAGATGCTCTTAGCTTCATCTCACAGCTGGCTAATTGAGACTGAAGCTTTCTTGGCTGGAAGTAAAAGAGAACTTACCCCAGACTATTTCCCCATAATACATGCTTCTGTGCCCATCTAAGTTCCACCTACTTCATGCAAAACTAACCCAGTGCCTTCTGATTCTCCATAGCAGTCACAGGCGGAATGACAAAGACTGGCCAGATTTTGTGCAAAACATTCTTCTAAGCAAACTTACTAAAGGACAAGTCAACTCAACTTGAAGATTCCTCCACTTAGTAAGTACAAGATATGCTGCTAATGAAGAAATGTCTTTTGAAAATAAATGAATAGAAATTATTAAATAAAAATAACTTTTTTGAAAATGTGTGATTTTTTTCCTTTTTTTTTTTTCCTTTTCACCTATGGATATACCATAGTGAAGTTAAAAATAGGATCCCTACTATTTACAGAAAAGGGAAGCATTAAACAAAAAGTATAGATCCCAGCACTTAGGAAGCAGAGGTAGATGGAGCTTTGTGAGTTCAAGACCAGCCTAATCTACATAGTGAGTTCTACGACAAATAGATCCTGACAGAGAGAGACACACAGAGAGAGAGGGACGGAGAGAGGGGGGGTATATTATGAACCTAAATTAGGAAAATGCCTCCAAAAAAGATGAGGGTGCAAGCAAAGCTATAAGCATTTTCATAATTAGTGATTGGTGGGGGAGGGTGAAGCCCATTGTGGGTGGTGCTGCCCCTGGGCTGGTAATCCTGGGTTTTATGAAAACAGGCTGAGCAATCTAATGGGAACCAATCAGTAAGCAGCATCTCTCCATGGCCACTGCATCAGATCCTGCCTCCAGGTTCCTGCACTGTTTAACTTCATGCCCTGACTTCCTATAGTGATATATAATGTAGAAGTGTAAGCCAAATAAACCCTTTCCTCCCCAACTTGCTTTTGGTCATGATGTTACAAAGCCATAATACCACTAATTAGGAAAGAGGTCCTGCATACTGGCATTTATTAGATCAAAGGGATTTAATCATTACCAACAGATGATTTGGGCAGCAGAAAACATTCTAGGCTGCAGAAACAATATGCATGATGTCTTGAAAACAAAAGGAAACAGGGTATCCTTTATAAAAGTAAACGAAATTTAACATAGCAAGAATCTAACATAACAAGGAGAGAGCGTGAAGGGATGGGGCTGGATTTGTAAGATGAGAAGTAACAGCAACCAAAGGAGGAAGAATAGACAGGTAGGAGAACAGCACAGCTGTCATGCGTGGGCATCAAGGAAAGTGGGTGGCATACACTGAGAGATGCATAAAGAGCAGAGGAAAGAGGCAGATGGAACCTGGGGTAAAAGCACTGGGCAAGAGATCTGTGTCCAAGAGAAGGAACTAAGCTGTACAAGTCGAGAGCAGAGATAGAACAGTCAGCTAGACGCCCTGTTCTCTGATAGCAGTATGTATCTGCACATGCTGACCAAAGCCAGCACAGAGACCCAAGAGCCCTAAGAGGGCAGGAGGAGTGGGAGCCTGATCAGGACAGTGGCCTGCAGCTTAAACCGGAGCTAGCGTTTTCCGCTGTTATGGGAAAAGGAAGCAGAGAAGCTCAGTTCCGAGTAAATCTGAGGAACTGGTGTGGAGGATTGCATAGAAACTGCCAGTTCCTCCCTCTCTGAAGCAAAATGAACAAGGAAGCATGAATCAGTTGTTCAGGTGATACTAAGTGTTCAGTTTAGATAATGGTTTAATCTGGCATTGAAGGCCAACAAGGTGGGATTTCCCATTGTGATCCATCAACCAATGTGGGAAAGACATCTGGTAGATTCAGTCAACATTAAGGTCTTTTACAGCCACAACTGATGAAAAGAGAACTAAAATAGTAGTATAGTATAATAGAACTTTAATAGTAGTTATAACTATAAATTAGTTATCGCATACTAACTCAAAAAATGAACTTTTTCAGTAAAATCCATCAAGATTGTATATTATTACCAAAATAAACAAATGCATTTCAAAACGTATATTTTCAGTCCAATAAGTATTTGAAAACTGTATGACTGAGAAGCATGATAAATGAGTGGAAGCACACGTGTAGTAACAAGACAGGGCGGGAGGAGTGCTGACTCTCTACTCACTGGAACA